ACCAATAGGCTGCGATGAGCTGAATCTACCCAGCAGTCGTCAAATGTCTCCAAACAAAAAATCAGCTGTATAACATCCAAATTCCAGTCAGTAGATTGGACATTATATTGATAAGAAGGAATTTTTTCCATGTTGTTAAATATTAGTTGTAGGTAAGGTTTTTGATGTAATTGTCCTACACTGCTATTTCCTTACATATTTCAGTATTCCTAGACTAAAAACACTTTTAAAAACCTATTGTAAATGATATTATAAAAAACTTTAGTTACCATTGTTTGTGATGAATCAAAGACTTAAAATCAGTTTATATATATATATATATATATATAACCACTGTGAGTGTATGGTTGTCATATAGGTTTGCAGTAGGGTTGTGAAGTGCTAAAGAGTTTAAATGCAATAAAAACTAGAGTTCACCTTGATCGGTAGCTGAACCTATTGCTAGAGTGAATCCACTATTGAAATGCAAACAATATTGACTTTCTCAAATCTTCAACTTGTGACAATTTTAGTACACCTCAAATGAATTTTAACTGTTCTTTCCTTAAACCAAAAGCGATCAGGATCGGAAAGACAGCAAGACAGGTGTTTATTAATCTGAAACCAGTGTGGAGATCTACCCCACTGCACTATGCACAAAACGTCAACAACATCCGGATCCGGATTTTCAACATCAACCTCAAGTCAGTGCTGCCGTATGGCTCAGAGACTTGTAGCGTTACGAAGGTGATTTGCAACAAACTAGAGACATTGATGAAGAACTGTCTACACTGGCTGGTTACTGAAGATGAGATGAGATGAGATGAGATGAGATGGTCAGAATAATAAGAATCAACGTGAAGGAACTGAGGCTGGCTGATGAAACTGTCTGATATAGCTTCACTTTGATAGACTGCTTTTGAATAGTAGGTTGATGACTGGAGTGACAGTGGTCACTATACAATTCAAACAAGTAATGCGTATTAATAAGCGTATTGTTTGAATAATAAATACTCTGAGTCACACAGAACTTCTTTGAACATTCAATCTCTCTAATTTGATTGACAAGAGATATTTAAGTAAGAAGTTATAATTTCACAGTTGAATAACCATCTCATTCATAAAGCTTACATCATCATCATTACACTAAAAGTAACCCACGTTGATTAACTATGCAAAACTTGATGAAATTAATTCGTTAAAGAAGAATGTAAGAGATCTGGTGACAGATACTTACTTCTATTGTAATTGAATATTTTAACTCCTATTCAACCTTTAAACAACATTAGTTAAACCATCTAATGTAAAGAATATGAAGAAAGTAGGATTTCATAAGTGTATAAATCTCAACAGGTTCAGTCAGCTGAATTCTTTATTCATTCGCATACCATGATGAAGTATAAGAATACGCGTTTACACAATGTAAGCCTGAACATCAGTCAATGTGGTGTAAAGTAGAAATGAATAATTTCAACAAGTAGAAATATGGACAGATTGAAAAAACTGTTCAAAAGGATGATGAAGATTGAATAAGAAGCAGATAAATTACATTATGGATCATATTTAGAAGAGAATTCCAATCAAACGTTAAAAGTAGAGAATCATGTTAACTATCCATGACAGATACTAGTGAGATGGATTACATCATCTATTATCAAGTTTGTAGGTTATATAATGAATGAGTTCCACTGAAATTTGTAAATTCGATAGATCTGGTCTTTTCCACACTCCTTACTTCTTTTCAATTTGTATTCGGAAAGAAATGTTGTCAATATATGAGATCGAATGGAGAATAAAATGTAAAACTGTTCTTCAGAATAGTATTTGAGCATATATCAAAAGACTGATTGATCGAAGAAATATATTCCTTATTAATTAGATCTACGTCTTCGACCACACACTAACAAATAGGTTTACAATTCAATCGAAATACCAATCAATCGGTGGGGAGTTGGTGAACAATAATGTAACTAGCTCCGCAGAAGCCGTTGAATTGATAAATGGGAGTACAATGATGCACTTCCATCGTCGAATCTCTGATCACCACCCATCATGGTTGAGCAAGGGACCAACTAGCACAATAAAGAGCTCCAAACTTCACACTGGACATCAAGTGGATACTAACTAGTAAAGCTTTGATAATTATTCACCACATTCCAATTAATTTACCCCAATGGATTACACACACGCTTACTTCTTAGAGCAGAGGTGATTGCAATTCACCTCACCTTTGTATCCAAAAGTAGTTTGTTCAACGACTTTCATTACTGTGGCCGTTAACATGATGCAACTCATCAAAAATCACTTCATTAACCTAAGAATAACCTACTTCATATCTCCAATTTTAATTACTCTATTGATTATTTACATGTTTATTTCTAAAACTTATCACCTTCATGACTTACTTAAAATCTGTGACTACTGTTCATCAACCTCCATCACTTGATTGGTATTTCGATTGAATTGTAAACCTATTTGTTAGTGTGTGGTCGAAGACGTAGATCTAATTAATAAGGAATATATATCTTCACTCAATCAGTCTTTTGATATATGCTCAAATAACATTCTAAAGAACAGTATTACATTTTATTCTCCATTCGATCTCATATATTGACAACATTTCTTTCCGAATACAAATTGAAAAGAAGTAAGGAGTATGGAAAAGACCAGATCTATCGAATTTACAAATTTCAGTAGAACTCATATATATCGTAAACTGTTTTTATTTTAACGAACAGATAACGTAACAGTTCGTGTCTATATTTCCAGCCTAATTGCTCTAAAGGATAAGTTCATAAAGATACCCAACCAACAACAACAACCATCTCCAATCACTATCAATAGCAGAAACCTGAAGGAAGTAGCCTCCTTCAACTATCTAGGCAGCACTGTTTCAACTACAGGCAGCACAGGCACAGATAAGGACGTCAAAACCAGCCAGCATCGGAAAGACAGCAAGACAGAAATTCATTAATCTGAAACCAGTGTGGAGATCTACCCCACTGCACTATGCACAAAACGTCAACAACATCCGGATCCGGATTTTCAACATCAACCTCAAGTCAGTGCTGCCGTATGGCTCAGAGACTTGTAGCGTTACGAAGGTGATTTGCAACAAACTAGAGACAATGATGAAGAACTGTCTACACTGGCTGGTTACTGAAGATGAGATGAGATGAGATGAGATGGTCAGAATGAGCGTGAAGGAACTCAGACTGGCTGGCTGGCTGGCTGGCTGGCTGGCTGGCTGGCTGGCTGGCTGGCTGGCTGGCTGGCTGGCTGGCTGGCTGGCTGGCTGGCTGGCTGGCTGGCTGGCTGGCTGGCTGGCTGGCAACAAACCGACCAAGAGGTTATCACCCAACAAATATGCAGGTGAAGAAAGTGGAGATGGATTGGTCATGCACTGAGAAGGCCGACTGAGGACATCACGAGCCAAGCCAGGTACTCGAGTGGAAGCCAGATGGGAAACGATGAGTTTGGCATGTGATGTGAGGGTGACATGGAGGAGATCATGTGAGGAGGAAATGAGAGCTTGTGGGCTGTCGTGGAACCAGGTTCAAAAGATTTCAGAGAATAGATTGCACTGGAGATGTGTTACTGAAATTCTATGTTCCATTAGGAACCTAAGCGAAAAATAATAAATAATAATAATAATAGTAATAATAAAGGATTAGTCCATGAGACACTGAAGTTCTTTTTATCAACGTTTCAACTCTAAGTAGAACCAAAATCTGGTTGGTGCTCATTATTTAAGATCAGGGAGAAATTATGGCTGGATGGCTAAATAACACATCTGTTTGTCTTCTGCGGACCAGACAATACCACATGATGATTTGAAATATGAGTTTATTGAATTATTTGGTATTAAATTTATTATTATTATTAGTCCCTTGGGTTCCTAGTGGAACATAGGGCTTCAGTGGCACGTCTCCAGTGTCCTCTGTTCTCTGAAATCTTTTGAACCTGGTTCCACGACAGTCCAGCTGCTCGCATTTCCTCCTCTCACGATCTCCTCCATGTCACCCTCACCTCGGACACCCAACTCGTCGCTTCCCATGGGGATTCCACTCGAGCATCTGGCCTGACGCATGATGTCCTCAGTCGGCCTTCTCAGTGCATGCCCAATCCATCTCCACTTCCTCCTGCATATTTGTTGCGTGATAGGTTCTTGGTTGGTTCGTTCCCAGAGCTCCTTGTTGCTTATTCTTTCTGGCAATCTATCTGATCTTCAGTATCGAGCCAGCGTAGGTGGCAGTTGTTGATGAATGTCTGTAGTTTGTTGGAAATGCTTTTCGTGACGCGCCAAGTCTCTGAACCATACAGAAGCACTGACTTGACTAAGTTGGTGTTGAAAATCCGTATCTTGTTGCACATGCTGAGTGCAGATGATCTCCACACTGGTTTCAGGCTAATGAACACCTGTCTTGCTTCTCCGATTCTAACTTTGACGTCCTCGTCCGTCCCGCCTGTAGTTGAAACAGTGCTTCCTAGATAAGTGAAGGAGGTTACTTCCTTTAAGTTTCTCCCGTTGACGGTGATTGGAGTTCGTTGTTGTTGTTGATGGTGGTGGTGCGGTATCTTCATCACTTCTGTCTTCTCTATATTCACTTGAAGTCCCGTCTTCGCTGCCCTGTCTCTTCTATCAACTTGTTAGTTTTTGCCTGCACATCTTCAAGTTTATGTGACATCAGGCACAAGTCATCGTTGGCGAAATCCAAGTCTTCTAGGTTCTTTTCCGTCGTCCAGTGTATCCCCTTCTTCTCGCTCCCCACTGTTTGCTGCATGATCCAGTCCAGTTGACCACAATCAGGAATATCATGGGGGATAGTAGGCAACCTTGTTTCACTCCTCCCTGTCTTCACTTGGTATTTCGTATTAAATAGCTATATATTTCTAAACACTGTTTAACTAATGGGAATCTATTGATTGATTTTATATAACCAAATATATGTTACAGTAAAAATGCATCTGTATTAAGTTTGGAAGTATAGTGAATAAGTGTAAAAGAATACAATACTTACTTTATCAAAATCTTGATCATCATCTGTATCTGTTGTCCAACAGCAATACGTACCTAGAAATATCCATGCTGAGATAAAACATAGGATAGTAGCAAGCCATAATAAAATATATCCAGAACCATAGGATATAGAGATTGTTGTACGCTGATTCTATGTAAACATGAAAAGGAAATCAAAAAGAAAGATTGATAAATTCCAGTACTTGTCTGACGCCCAACTATGGCAAGCAGTTTGACCTGGATTACAAGTACTATTATTATTTGTCCCTTGGGTTCCTATTGGAACATAGAATTTCAGCAACACATCTCCAGTGCACTCTGTTTTCTGAAATCGTTTGAACCTGGTTCCACGACAGCCCACAAGTTCTCATTTCCTCCTCACATGATCTCCTCCATGTCACCCTCATCTCACACGCCAAACTCATCGCTTCCCATCGAAGTTTCACTCCACCAACTGGCCTGACGAGTGATGTCCTCAGTCGGCCTTCTCAGTGCATGACCAATCCATCTCCACTTTCTTCACCTGCATATTTGTTGGGTGATAACCTCTTGGTCGGTTTGTTGCCAGCCAGCCAGCCAGCCAGCCAGCCAGCCAGCCAGCCAGCCAGCCAGCCAGCCAGCCAGCCAGCCAGCCAGCCAGCCAGCCAGCCAGCCAGCCAGCCAGCCAGCCAGCCAGCCAGCCAGCCAGCCAGCCAGCCAGCCAGCCACCCACCCACCCACCCACCCACCCGCCCCCCCGCCCCCCCCCCCCCCCCCCCCCCAACCAACCAACCAACCCAACAACAAAAAAAAAAAAAATAAAAAAAAAAAAAAAAAAAAAAAAAATTAATATAATAAAAAGTAGAATTTTAAAGAAAAAATAGGACTTTGTAATTGCGCTATATTATCTAGAAACATTAAGTAATTATTTCCTTTCTTATGTCAAAATTTCAGGGAATTGTGTGCATGTTTTCTGATTATCACTTTTTCTCATTGATTCCTCAGTGAATATCCTTGTTTCATTGTACCCTTCTGTGGTTGTGAAAACTTTGGGTTCATTTTCAGTGTAATCCATAGTGTATGACTTCAGTTATGTGATGAATAGCATTCATAGATGAATGTTCAAGTATAGCTCGACCCCCATAAACAACTTAGATGCTACAAGTAAATCTTCACCGAATGTTTCTACTCTTTCCATCTAGTTAACATTTGTACATAGCGTTGACAGGTCAGATTGTAGTCATAACAATGACATTGAATTAAACAAAGAAATGCAGTGTTCAGACTGTATTGAACAAATATGCTTCACATTTACTAACATATTCATTATTGAAAGATATTATTATGTCATTCCATGAAACACATTAAGCGTTTTTTTCTTAAGCTGATAAGTAGGAATGTGAACACTCTGACTGCTAGGGAATAGAAAGTGGTCTGCATAGTGTTATGGATATTATCTAATGGGGTGTAGATTATTTCGATAGATTCTTCACTCTTATCAGCAAAAAAGTCATAATCTATTGTACAGTGCTATTCATTGTTTATGTCATGATCATTATTTGTCCCTTAGGTTCCTAGTGGAGCATAGGGCTTCACTAACACGTCACCATCCCACTATCTTCTCTGCAATCTTTTCAACCCGGCTCTACCACTGCCCACTGCCCACAAACTTTCATTTCTTCCTCACATAATCTCCACCATGTCACCCTCGCCTCGGACAACCAACTCATCGTTTCCTTTTTGCATTCCACCCGAGGGCCTGGCCTAGTGCATGATATCCTTAAATGGTCTACTCAGTGTATGTCCAATCCAACCCATCTCCACTTTCTTCGTCTGAATATTTGTTGGGCGATAGGTTGTCGGTTGGTTGGTTCGCTGCCAGCCAGTCAGCCACTCAGCCAGATTTCCTCGTTTCCTATTCGTTCTCACCATCTGATCTGATCTTCAGTACCGAATGAGCATAGACGGAAGCTGTTGATGTATGTCTGTAGTCTGTTCAAAATACTTTTCGCAACGTGCCAAGTCTCTGAACCATATAGAAGCAAGCACTGACTTGACTGACTTCGTGTTGAAAATCCGGATCTTGTTCACACCTCATACTGAGTGAAGTAAGGTAAAGTGCAGTAGATCTCCACACTGATTTCAGATTAACGAAGAAAGGCCTATCTTGCTGTCTTGTTGATCCTGGCTGGCTTTGACATCCTCATCTTCTATACCATTGTCTGTATCTGGAACGACGCTGCCTAAATAGGTAGGTGAAAGAGACTACTTCATTTAGATTTATCCCGTTGATGGTGACTGGTGCTTGTTGTTGTTGTTGTTGGTTGGTTGGTTATCTTCATCCCCTTTGTCTTCTCTACGTTCTTCTGAAGGAAGTCCCGTCTTCCTTCACTGTCTCGCCTCGCCTCGCCTCTTTTGCCAACTTGTTGGTTTTCACCTACAGATTTTCGAGTTTGTCCTGCAAGACATTTGACATAAATCATTATCACTGGGGAGATCCAAATCTTCTAGTGTTTTTTCATTGGTCCAGCCACCGTATGCCCATCTTCTCACAGCTCCTCACAGTTTTCTGTTGCATGATTCAGTCCAGTCGAGTGGACCACAATCTGGAAGATGATCGGTGATAGTAAGCGGCAACCTTGTCTTACTCCTATTTCACTTCAAAGGCATAACTGAGTAAACTGGTCAATATGTAACTCAACAGCGAGAAATGAACCGGATTCTGTTGTCCATTAGTTCTGACATGCCAATATCAGGTGAAATACACTTAAAAGTTACATGACTTTACATGTTGCGCATGTTTCAACACAGTACAATCATTAGATCTTGAAGGAAATGTAGTGTTAGTTAATTATTGTTCACTTTCAGTTTGGAAACCCTTCATGAAATTTTCATTTAATGGATATTTAAACTGGAAAATGACAAAGTTAAAATCAGAAAATGCAAACATTTTGTATTTTGAATGACATACTACTGACTGCAGGTTGGTATTCACCATGGAGTGACACCATTCAGGAAAATTTGGAAACCTAGGATTTTGTCGTGACATGGAACTTCTCAGCAGTGCGCGCCCATGACCCACATTGCTAGGTCTCCAACCCAGGACCTTCAGGTTATTCTCCTAGCACGTTACCATCGACCCGCTGGGTTTAAATGCAGTGGTCCATATTTCCTATTTCTGCAAGTTCACGATGAAGTACTACCTCAATCCGATGCCGTCATTGACTTCACCGGTTGTGTTATATCGTTACCTGACAGAAGTAGGAAATATAGACCATTGGAGTTATACCGAGGGACTGTAGCTGGGTGAGTCATGAGTGCACGCTGCTGAGGAGTTCCATATTAGGATGAAAAGGCTGTTCATTTCTCCCACGTTTCCAATTTTTCATCCACTGATGTCAGTCTAGGATAAATGCCAACCTGTAATCAATAAATTAATCCCCACAAACTTCCAAACTGATACACAACCGATTGGAAATACTTGCATAAAAGCCTTAGATGGTATTCATTTAGTTTGTGAAGTGTAGAGGCTTCACTTCGTTGCAAATCTGATGAATAAATTTCAATCACCACTTCAGACTTGATAAACTGAGATTTATCACCCTGTGTTAGCTGAACATTTGAGCTATTCTAGTCTTCAGCAAGTCACTTGTGAGGGATATAACTAAGCCCTGTCTGATAGACGGCAGTTTCATATGGTGGTCAGACTTCCATTTCGCAAAGACCTAAAGAAATGTAATGATGAAGAGCTTGTTCCTTTGAGGTTCCAGCATACCAGGAAGGTGTGTTCAGATAGTAGTAAGACGAAAAAACGGTTACCACCATAGTGTTAGTTACCATACTGTGGTGAAGTCTCAGGGCAAAGTTGTACTACTGATTAGACGGTGGTGTAGCAGCAGTAACGGTATCTCCTACAGACGACCCTCAGCAGCATGTTGATGTTGTTGTGAATGGGGGTTAGAAAAAGTCGGCTTCAAAGGTAGCACACTCTACCTCCTCTGCAGTATTTTGGTTCCGGCATTGTTAGTTTCTAGCTAGATTCGGGATAAACAAACTTGCCTCTGAAACTTCTAGAAAGGCGTTGTGTGACTGGGGCCAAACAGATGTCCCTCGTAGTCTGTGATCACACACCACTATTATTTAAACAATTTCTTTTTCAGGCATTTCTAGGTGAAGTAACCTTCCAGTGTGACCAGCTGCAAAGTACCAACTGGCTCACAACTCTATCGTCACTCAAGTTCCCTCAGATCATTAATAACTTTCAAAATCTTTGCCGTCTAATCTTTCACCTTATCTCATAGTCAATATTTCCACATGATCGTTGGTTTCATCCAGATTTGCAGCTCCTTATAACTGCTACTTGGGTCCATGGGACAACATCCCAAACTATATGTTGGGACTGTGAATGTCAACACTCTCCGTCAGACCAGACAACTAGGTGACACTATGATATCTCGGTTCATGGACGTGTGCTGTGCTTGTAAGACATGTACAGAGAACTCAGTTGTGGCTGTTCAATTAACATCACCTGGTCAGTGTGATCAATCTGTATAGTTCACTGTGATATTCCACAGATTCGACACCTACTTCTCGTTATTTTTCAAGTGTATATATAGGATTAGGTCAGCACCAAGGTAGGAAGTGCACTGCTAGACTGGGTCCGAGTTGACAGTCATCTGTGTGGATTGTTCAACTGAATGATGCAGTGACGACTAGGAAGAACATCGTAACTCATTGTTGTCTCTTTGTAATTTCTGTTTACACACATGGTGACTGACTGCATTTGGGATGAAGTGAAGAATAGATTCTACGGGAAACTGTTTGACCTCATTATGTAAGAAAAACGTTCATACTTGACTATCGTAGTAGATGACTTCAATACATAAGTGAGTGGGCTGTGGGATAGAAAGTCACTTTTGGAATAAACTTTTCGAACAAACAAATGATGATCATTATATGCCACAAGTGTATTCAGAGAACCATCTATTTCTGCTGTAGCAGAAGCTTTGGACTTAAATGTGAGGCACTGCCTGACGTGGTTTCCATTGATCACAAGGCAGCGGTGGACACAGACCATATTACTATCAGTTATTTCTTGAGTGGATCAATAGCAAAAGGCATTTGTTTACTTGAATCCTGGACAGTGCTTCGCTTCGGTGTATGTTTCAAAACTTGCTGATCAAGAGGAGAAAATAGTATAAACAGTTTTATTCTTGAACACTTCTTCATCTGTAGCTCTTTCAAATAATTTACAGAGTGGCTCTCTGGAATACCAAATTATCTCATATACATCATCGATTTCTTGCCAAATCTATTATCAATTCACAACCTTAAACTTGATCTTTGTGGTCAAAAGTATTATCTGTACGTATTAGCCTTACTAAGGCCACAGTAATTCTTTCCTTCTGTCTTTAAAAGCAACCTTTTTATTCTTTTCTTACAGACTGTAGTAATTGCATGAACCTGTTAATTAATAATAGACTGTAATTTGTTTGCATTAATTATAAATATGGTTGTACAACTTTAGGAAACTGAACTGTTCTAGATTTGAAACAGGATGAACTTGCCAGAGTTTGCGGTAACACTTTGCAGTTGAATGCCGAAAAATATGAAACTTAGTTCAGAAAAGCCTGTTGGATGATTTTCTTAAGCTAAATGATATTCTTCTTCTTCTTCTTCGATGAAGATGAGATAATGATTTCATAAGAGCATGCTACACTCATTTTAAACTCTAAGTAAATTTCCTCACCATTGATGAGACTGTAATATCGGATAAAGGCTAATAGACTTAATCAGGATAACTATTTACTCCTATCAGAATATCATCAGTTACATATACTTGTCCTTCTGTGTATCATTGTATAATGAAGTAACTTGTTTCAATACTGAATTTCAGAGAATGATTTATTGCATGCCACAACTGTAAAGAAAAATAACTAAAAATATTTTTTAAAAGTTTTATTCGGCTAAACATCGTTTCAGTCAATTTTTAACTTTATTTGAACATGTGTTCAGCATATTAAGAACCTAATATTGTGGATTTTAGCAACAGATTACCCGTAGATACTGCCTTCTACTGACTGTTCGACTACATTAGAGAGACACTTTTGAAAAATATCTCTGAGTCTTCAAAATTCATCAGTCTATACTTGATAGTATTTGAAGGGATTTGAATGCATCCTTATGACTTTAAACTACAGTCACATCATATAGAGAAACAAATAGACTGAATAAACAAAATATGAGTAATTTTTATTAATCTCATTGATTAACAATAACGTGCTCAAGACAATATCCGGCTACCCTAAGGTCGATTAGGTTTCGGATTCTGCATAAGCACTACATATGATTTGAATGACTATAACAAAAGCATCTGTTCAGTGGTCCATCATCGTAGCCTGTTTTCTATCTACTGCTAGTCTGTATTGAAAACAACCTGTCAACTAACTGATCTTTTATAGACTATACCAAAATGAAATAATTTTGTTATATTTCCTAAGATTTAGGATAGTATACCTCATGAACATGAAACTTGATAAATAGCCGGGCATTACAGCTAAGAAGATATGGCATCGAGCCAGAAATCAGATTGTCAATAGTTCAAATCCAACTGCCAACTATATTTCCTCTCACATATTATCAACAAACTATAATAATGAAGTAATTCAGTAAAGATTTTTGTTAATTTTGTTCTAAAAAAAAAGAAGATACGTTGACATAATGTGGTAGTTTTCTTACCTCAGACCACTGATTAAATCCATATGGATGACCTGATGATTTACCATATTTATCCTGAAATTGTTCAACATGGAACATAATAATTGCACTTTGCAAACAGAATCCTATAGAAATGAGCAAAGTTAATTGAATAAATTTACATAATATTGCATTGAAATGTATATACAACATGGTAGTGATAATAAATATCAACAGTTTACAATGAATACAATATATTCGAAATGAGGTGATTTTTTCTGTGAACGAAATATACTACTGAATACAGTGAGTAGTTAGAAACCACTCACATTGATCTGCTTATTTTGTTAGCTAGATATGCATAATCTAAACATCGGAGAGATGTTTCACTTGTTTTATAGCTCATAACATCAGTGATGTGACTGAACAAATTCATAATATAGAATCAAAATGTTCAATTTCAGACTCATCTAATGTTGAGATTAATCTGATCTGATTAACGAAATCTACAAATCATCATGACTAGGTTCAGTCTACTCTCATTGTCTATTGGTACATTTCCATAGTTCATGATTATATGGCACTTGTAGCATCACAGTTAAGCTATTGGAAACCTATTCAACTGTCAATGTGGACAGTTATATTCTCAATTTTTAAATTGATTTATTTTTCAATTTTATAATATTTCTTCGGATACAAACAGCCTAAAATAGATAAATAATCAGGATAGAGGTAATGCTTTTTACAAAAGGATTGAAAAAAGTTTAATTTGTTTATTTATTAGAAATAGTACACAGTGAAACGGTATCATTTACTGGATAACGTTTCGAAAATAATTTATTGTCCATATTCGTATTGATTCGTCACGGGAGTGCAACCAATTTCATGTTGTCTAGTGGTAAGTGCAGGCCGAATTCTATCGATCTTATTTGCAATGTGGCAAATGTGCCAAAAAGCACGAAATCTAGGTCCAGAGCTTCCTGTCGATTGCCTCTAACCAACTAATATCTACTAATGTGCACCACAATGCTGAGCTTGTTAGCTTGGTTGCCATATTGCAAATATGATCGATAGAATTCGGTCTACACTCAGGACTAGACAACATCAAATTAGTTGCACTCCCGTAACCAATCAATACATGTAAGCTAGTCCTACAAGAGGTCAATCGTGGCCCGAATAACTCAGTTGTAAAGTTGCTGACTGCAACTGCAAGTGGGACGCCAGCTCCATCGATTTTGCAGATACACCTTGCTGACGATTGCTGAAAGGCAAGAAACCTTCCTGCCGATTGCCTCCAACCAACTAACATTGTCTATATTCATTATGTCTTAAATGTTATCCAATAAATAACACTGTTTCACTATGTGTAACATTTCTAGTGAATAGACTAAAATCGAATTAAAATCTACCACAATGCTCAATTTTTACTCTTATATTAATGAAACATATTGTCAACAACAACAAGCTTCAATCACCATCAATACGAGAAACCTAAAGTAAATAGACTACTTCAACTATCTAGGCAGCATCGTTTCAACTACTGGCAGCACAGGCACACACGAGGACATCAAAGCCAGCCAGCATCGAAAAGACAGCAATACAGGTGTTGTCTAATCTGAAACCAGTGTGGAGATCTATCCCACTGCACTATGCACAAAACGTGAACAACATCCGGATCCGGATTTTCAACATCAACCTCAAGTCAGTGCTGCCGTATGGTTCAGAGACTTGGAGCGTTACGAAGGTGATTTGCAACAAACTGGAGACATTGATGAAGAACTGCCTACACTGACTGGTTACTGAAGATGAGATGAGATGAGATTGTCAGAATAATAAGAATGAGCGTGAAGGAACTGAGGCTGGCTGGTCGGCTGGCGACGAACGAACCAAGAACTTATCACCCAACAAATATGCAGGTGAATAAAGTGGAGATGGATTGGGCATGCACTGAGAAGGCCGACTGAGGACATCACTCGTCAGACCAGTTGGTGGAGTGGAACTTCGATGGGAAGCGATGAGTTTTGCGTGTGAGATGAGGATGACATGGAGGAGATCGTGTGAGGAAGAAATGAGAGCTTGTGGGCTGTCGTGGAACCAGGTTCAAAAGATTGCAGAGAACAGAGTGCACTGGAGATGTGTTACTGAAGCCCTATGTTCCATTAGGAACCTAAGAGAAAAACAAATTATATGTAACAATAAGTTCTTCGGTTGTGTGTGACATACAGTAGAACACAGAACTAAGGAAATGAAAATGAATATTTTAAACCACTGTGACCTTAACATCATTTTTTTTATTCAAAAAACAACCATCAAAGCCACCTCATTAGTAATTGCCATTATACCGAATAATCTCTGATTCTCATCTCACAATTTAATCTACACTTTTAGTTGTTTTCAAAGTTCAGAAATCATTTTTACCTTATAAGTAACCATATAAAAGAAATTGCCATAAATTGACATAAGTACAAAGATGAATATACATTTCTTTCATTACAATACGTCTCACCAACACGTCACTTATAGTATTACAAATGATGTTGTCTGGATTCCCGTGTAGGTTTGTACCGACTTTTGTCGATCCTACTAAAAGACTGTACACTTTCGAAGACTATTCATACTCACACTTGGTATAAACACTACTTTATGAACCAGTTCGACTGACTCATGATATATTCACCAACCCACTACCTCTCTCTAATACTGTCCAATATAAATAGTCAGTGAGTGAAGTGTAGTTTAACTGACTAGATATCAGCACACAAAACTTATCGATTTCATATGTTAGGGTGAACCTTCTCCGATAATAATCTCGGATTCAGCAAGGTTGTAATTTGGACTATAATTTTTTTCATTGTTGGATAGGTGCCAACTTTATTGAGACCAACCCTTCCTAGTTGTTGGGGAACATTCTCAAGAAATGAAGTGGTAACTGATGATTATTCAGCAATACTTACGGGTTACAAACATATCTGAAGTTGCTAAGGTATATTTGAACGATATCCACATCAGACAGGAAGTGACTAGCATTGGCAATGTGGTTTCGAAAATCAAAAAATCTTTTCTCACTTATAATCAATATAGCTAGCTATAGGTTGATATGGTTTGCACTATCAATCTTATCGAATTTGAATTGTCAGAATTTATCTGTTCATCGCTTCACATATTTCCTTTGTCATAATATGTTTATTATCTTTTTACAGACTTACTTCTTGAAAGGATTAATTTACTTTGTTCTGTCACTTCAGTATCAATAGTTGCTTAGCTTCTTTTCGTCTCACAGGCAGACGTTAGTGCTCATTAGTGATTTGCTTCCAGATGGATATCAGGAAGCTCTAATGAGAAGCCATTACCTGTGAGGTCAACCAGTCGGAAGTGAAGTGGATGCTAACTGAAGACCTTGGGTGATAGTCGTACTATGTCGCGAATTGACAGAAGTTGGAGATTGTGAACCACTGGAAACCTACACAGTGGCTGAATGGTTAACGCGTTCGCCGTGAAACCTGAAGGTCCTGAGTCCGATCCGTAGCTGGGTCGTGGATGCGTGCTGCTGAGGAGTCCCATACTAGTTGGACGAATGAGCTAGCTGTCCAGTGCTCCCAGATTTTCAATGGTTCCCTAACTGATGTCAGTCCATGATGAATACTACTTCTAAATTAAAAAAATCCCCATTCATCTCAAAAATACAGACGTATAAATGTTATCCTAAGTATTTTGTTTACAACTATCTAACAACACCTTATCGGTCTACTCATGGAAAGCCAAACTTGAATAACACCACTTAATCAGTCCTAAATGATCTGACGTTAATTTGACCAAGAGTATAAAATTATTCAATGAATTAGTATAATTAGACGAAATATGCATCCTGGATTCCACTGCTTCCACTGCGAGCCATAATCCATCAATACCATAACATTCAAGGAATGTTCCATAGTTTTGAAAGATCATATGTTTTTTCAATAAAAAAAACACTTACCAGCTAGCATAAGAAATATGCCTATAAGCAGACGCCAAAGTTGAAAACTTCTACTCTCTATGTTCTTTTTATACCAGACGATGATTAATGCAAGCGCAGTGATAAAGCATACACACATGATGATTATTCCAATAGCATGCATAGCCAGCTGAGCAAGACGTAAATCTATACAAAAAAGATAATACAAAAAAAGTGTAATAAGCCTTTGTCAAGAACTAAATTGAAATCAGTCATCTCATACAAATCATCGATTGACATACTTTGAGTGTTCATCAGTAAATTGTCTTAGAGTGGGATTTCCTAGAGGTAGAATGAGAAATCGTGACCCATGCCATCAATCAAGTCAAGTATAAAGAAAAATGACAAATTGTATCCGATGATGGCCAGCCCAAGTGAAGAACTGACATGAAGAAGTAGGAATATATGGACCATAGGATTCCAGCTAAATGAATGGATGGTAATCCATTCTCTTTGAGACGTGATGTTTATGAGTTCTTCCTCTCCTGCACTCATAGTTGCGTACTTCTGATAATTCCCATTACTGCTATTATCATTATTATTATTATTATTTGTCCCTTGGGTTCCTAGTGGAGCATAGGGTTTCACTAGCATAAAGCCATTTCACTCTCTTCACTACAGTCTTTTCAACCTGACTCCATGACTGCCCATTAAATTTCATTTCTTCCTCACACCATCTCCTCCATGTCACCCTCGCCTCGGACGCCCAACTCATCGTTTCCTATTCGGGTTCCACTCGAGGGTCTGGCCTGTTGCGTGATATCTCCAAATAGTCTTCTCAGTGTATATCCAACCCAATCCATCCATCTTCATTGACCATCTGATTTGATCTTAACTATGGAGTGAACGTAGGCGGCAGTTGTTGATATTTGTCTGTAGTTTGTCGGAAATGGTTTTCGTAACGCGCCCTCTACTATTCCCAAGGTCTTCAATGGGTCTCCAATCGATGTGAATTCTTGATAAATACTTTGTAGAGAAGTTCATGACAAGTGAAACGTGTTCTTCAATACTAACACAGTAGCAAGCCTTCTGCTTTATTTGTATCAATAACTTATAGAAGCTATTTCTTGTCTCTTGATAATAGAGGCAGTGTCATATGCATTTCATGTATGGTAATATTTCTAATATCTGATACATATTTAACTGAGTCTATACTCATGAAGAAACAAACACTGTAAGGTCAAAACTAATTCAGGTATTATCTTCTGTTGTAATCTTAAAATAACAATGCTGCCTGGTTTCAAAACAACCAGTTACACTGACGAAACATAAGCTTACAGAGTATTCCTTTCAGCCTTAGTACTGCCTTTTGATCATACTGACTGTTTGATTTAATGCTAAGGACCAACAATGGAAATAGGAAGAGCAACGCTTCGTTATAAGGAATGGAATTGTCTTCCGACTATGCCTACACTCTTGTTGGCATTTGTTCAAATAAGTTTTAACGTGTGTTCAACTGTTTCTACACTGATATACTATTATCCTTTCTTTTCTATAGTAAGATTAGTAGTAAAATCATTTCATGATTGTCTACACTACTAGGAAATCTGACTTTACAGAAAACTTCAACTTTCTTCTATACAAAGTTCAAATTAGGATTATTGTGTATCAGAAATGTGAAACTGTAATTCACCATTATGTATAGACAAAATAACAACAAGAGAATACACAAAAAACTAACTTGTCATAAGACTTGAAAAGTCATCGACCGCTAAATTTGGATCCCGATACTGACATGTGTTATCTGTGTAATCAATAAAAATGATGGTATAAGTAATAACAAAAATTTAAAGGTAAGCATAATATGTATTATATTCACATTAAATTATGTTATAATCATACTCAGTAAAATTCTATACAGCGTTTGGATACATGAGAATTGAGTTCAGAGTCAATATTTTATATCATATTTTTTTCATCAATAATAAAATTAATAATTATCATTGATCCATCAAATTAATGCTGGATTATAAGAAGAAATACGACTTTCATTTTCTGGTTGTTGAACTCAGAAGGAAAAGAGATCTCTGTCTTCACAGATGGATTTATAAAGAGTCTACTTGTAACTGACAGTATACGCATATTCAGAGTTGGATGCAGCTGAGCAAGAAGGAGAAACCTAGTTAATTCATTCTATTTGATAATCAGACGGATCTGGGCATTACATATGACAAATGATGGATTTAGAAAACTCTAACAATTACAGATTTAAGATTATTATCTATGTTGACTTTTGTAGGGAAACTGTGAACCAAAGTAACATCTCATTGATAAGTGTTGGTATCAAAAATGAGGCTATGGAAAAAAGTTTGAAGTATTATTTATCCAGATATTTAAAAATGAAGAAAACATTTTTCCTCATCAACTATGAATTTTGTGTTCTCCAGCCAAAATTTTCAATGTGTGAACGCGTCAAGGACGAGCAGACGCTTTGAATCACCTTAGTATATATCAACGTTTTGACTTGCTCCTGTAAAATCCGGTTACACTGATCATACAAACTATCCCCTTTTCAAAAGTATTTCACAGTATTGTCTTGTTTACTTGTCAAGAGAATGTTGTAAATCAATAAATTATTCACTACTTCAACGATATCTTAGTTTTGGTCACAAGGTCTTCATAGTCAAACCAAGCGGTTTGAAAAGTTCATGATTTCATAATTCATACACGACAAACTTATTAGTAACTCAATGTTTAAAACTTGTTCTCTGTATGCATAAGAAAAATGCATAGTATCTGATTCTACCTTGATAGTAACCCCCCAGTTTCTCAATTTATTATTCTCATTATTACCAATTAACTCACTATCATCACGTTTGCTATGGCATTTGCTTCTTACTTCACTTACTGTGTAATTGTCTTTCTCTTATATAAAAATGTGAAGTTATCTTGTGCTCTAAGATCATTTTATTAAAGCAATCTACATACATGTTGTATACAATCATTAACAGTTACTTGTTTTCACTGCTCATAACTATAACTGTACAGCTTCAGTAAATGATATCTTCGCAAATTAAAATACTTTTCTTTGTTAAATTATCCTCTTCCTTTATTGAAATTAATTTTCTACTGTGTGAGTAATGATATTAGTCAATAGACTGGACACTTAATTTTCAGGTAATAAACAATCTCGAATTTCAGTCTTATTTCAGCATGAATAACTTGGAATACATGTACAGTTTCATAAACCTATAAGCAAATTTTAAGATATACTTGATAATTATGACATGCAAACTTTCATGTGAACAACAGTGAAATTGCAAAGTGTGTAAATATTCGGTCGAAAATATAAGACATTGATTCACTTTCTATCAATTGATATTTATCTATATTTAATTATATACAATAGTGATTCACAATGGGAAGCTCAGTGATACTTTTGAAGACAAGACAGGAGTGAAACAAGACTGCCTACTATCACTCTTGATATTCCTGATTGTAGTAGACTGCAGCATGCAACAAACAGTGAGGAGCTGTGAGAAGAGGGGGGTACGCTTCACGACGGAAAAGATCCTAGAAGATTTGGATTTCACCAATGACTTGTGTCCAATGTCTTGTGACACATACTCGAAGATCCACAGGCAAAAAATTAACAAGTTGACAGAAGAGGCAGCGAAGCTAAGACTTCAACTGAGTGTACAGAACACAGAGGTGATGAAGATACCCAACCAACAACAACAACAACCATCTCCAATCACCATCAATACGAGAAACCTAAAGGAAATAGACTCCTTCAACTATCTAGGCAGCACTGTTTCAACTACAGACAGCACAGATGAGGATATCATAGCCAGCCAGCATCGGAAAGACAGCAAGATAGGTGTTGATTAATGTGAAACCAGTGTGGAGATCTACCCCACTGCACTATGCACAAAACGTGAACAACATCTGGATCCGGATTTTCAACATCAACCTCAAGTCACTGCTGCCATATGGTTCAGAAAGTTGGTGCGTCACGAAAAGCATTTCGAACAAACTGGAGACATTGATGAAGAACTGCCTACACTGACTGGTTACTGAAGAAGATGAGATGAGATGAGATGAGATGAGATGGTCAGAATAATAAGAATGAGCATGAAGGAACTGAGGCTAGCTGGCTCGCTGGCAACAAACCAACCAGGAACTTATCGCTCAACAAATATGCAGGTGAATAAAGTGGATATGGATTGGTCATGGACTGAGAAGGCCGACTGAGGACATCACTCGTCAGATCAGTTGGTGGAGTGGAACTTCGATGGGAAGCGATGAGTTTGGCGTGTGAGATGAGGGTGACATGGAGGAGATCATGTGAGGAGGAAATGAGAGCTTGTGGGCACTCATGGAGCGAGGTTCAAAAGATTGCAGGAACAGAGTGGAATGGAGGCGTGCTACTGCAGCCCTTTGTTCGATTAGGAACCTAAGGGATAAATAATAATAATTATTATTATATGCAATATCTGCAGTCAAAACATTATGTGATGAAGTGTTCTACCGCGTCTTTGCTACCATAAGTTATGCATAAATATGAAGCGAAAACTACATTTCTGTTTATCAAAGAAGGATTATAGTCTAATTTCGAAATTAACTGAATGGAATTATTATTTCTCATCTTAACTGGACATCAGTTGGAATATCTTGGTTTGTCTACTCATGATAAGTTCATGGCTTAAAATATGAGATTCATGTTTGAATAATGAGTGTTCTTGTTGATCACCTGAAGCTATAAATCACTTGAACAAATCACTAACAGTGGTTCTCATAGATGAAACCAATTCAAATCTTCACCATATCCTGAAACACTTATCACTACTACATATGCATTAATAGTCTCTGTATTATATTATAAATGTTTTGACAGATGAACTTCATCTTCAGTTGCCATTCAAAGATGAAGTCATTCACATTACTCAACACTACAATGAGTGAGTTATGGGATTTTTAACTTAGTAGTAACGATCAGCAGAATTCGATCATCATGACAGACTGGCACTGTGTACTAAGCAATGATCAGGTAATGTATATGTCATCTAGTCAAGCAGAAGGGTAATCGTTACTTCACTAGTTTAGCTGTAAAGTTTCTGATCGTAGCACTGAGTACTGAAGGTTCATATAACCAAGGGGAAATGAATTCCATTGAAGCTGTTGACGAATGCTAAGATACAAGAAACACAGGTTCACAGCATCTAGCCAATATTCTCTAAACACCTGATACCAGTGCTCAAGTAAGTAACTCCATAAGTGAGTCATATACCGTCAAACCTTCGGGAGATTATCAGTCTCATTAAGGTTGCAGATACTGCTTAATCATGAGTTATAACAAACCCTAAATGGTGGAAGATCAGGACTTCCTGACCACTAATTCCTAACATTTGGAATACTTCTTCAAGCTTAAAAAGTATTTTTCAAAACAGAACCTGGAAAAAGCACATTCAATAATCAATGTTCATATCTTTCTCCACCTACTCTTAAATGCTAAACTTCACTGAATCTAGATTATTATATCCTGATCATTACATCTTAACTTAATCTCGGTGAGTTTTATTATCAGATTATTAAAGAGACATGAATGTGGGGTCAGAGAAATAGGTGAGAACATCTAGACTTGTCACACCATCACTCTCACTAGACTTATGTAGAAAATAACATTATACCGTGCAGTAGTCGTAGACATGACTCTCATGGAGTCGCTTGCTCTATGAACAACTATCTACAGAATTGTATTGCATATATAAATCAGTTACTCATCAGTTTACACCTTAGTTGATTTTTAAGGCTAAGCATCTAAATAAGCTACCACATCAAGATTCTGTTTAAGTGGATAATTAAAAGTTGAAGGAAACAATAATTGACTTCGATGTTTGGTAAACACTAGTGCATAGACTAACTGTCAATTTTCAATAAATCTCTAGATAACAATATGAAATTCTGTTTAAAAGTGATAATGAAAGTTGTGTCGATGACAGACATTTAGCCAGGTGGTCTACAGTTCCAAAAGATGTGTGTCCTAAACATCCAGGCTTCCTGTCAGCTGCCTCCAACCAACTAAAACACTAGATCTCTGTCACCATGTCATATCAACCGAAAAGGGATAAACTTGAATCTCAAATGAATGTCATTGGTCATATTATTTTATGTATTTTGAAAGTCAACTTACTTATTACTTAGATAGTAACATAATTGCATAGTTCAATTAAGGAGCTTTCGAATGAGTCCTCAACCATTTATTTATGACTTATATTACGGAAATAATTGCTTGTTGAATGTAAATAAATTATGGTGCTTTGTAGTCAGTTAATTTGTATGCACACATGAATCAGATCAACTGAAGCGTACAGACAACAAGCACTAGATTTTGTGTTGTGTTTTACGAAGTTGCACGAGAGGACTAGAATGGCATGACTCATCGTATAGGTGAATTGAGTAAACGAAACTGGGTAAGTATATTGAAAACTAAGACTGAATTGACAGAATCATATGAATCAGAAAATCATAACTAGATGATCCAGTGACTAAATGGTTAACGTGTTCACCGTAAACCTGAAGATTCTCAGTTCGAATTATAACAAATAGTCGAAGCGGTTAACTCAGAAATAAAGCAAATGATTTACATCATTGTTTCATGAAATACTTCCTTACGTTATGCAAAGTTCAAAGTCATTATTTAAGACCAATTATCCAATGACAGTTTCACTAAGTGAATAATTACGAAATATATGTTAATATATGAAATATGAGATCACTTGGAATTAGTGTGGCTCATAGACC